AGGTTTATCTTTGCCAACCCCTTGGTTAAAAGGTTTCTAAAGGGAGTCGACAGGTTGATGCCATATGAGAGGCCTACGGTACCGGCGTGGGACCTTAACCTGGTCCTGACTGCCCTTATGAAGCCCCCGTTCGAGCCCCTAGCTTCATGCTCCCTGACACATCTGTCTTATAAGGTAGCTTTCCTTGTGGCCATTACCTCGGCCAGGCGGGTGTCTGAGCTTAAGGCTCTCACCTCAGAACCACCTTACACGGTGTTTTTTAAAGACAAGGTGAGGTTGCGTCCACACCCGGGGTTTCTTCCCAAGGTGGTCTCACACTCCCACATGTCCCAGGATATTTACCTGCCAGTGTTTTACCTCAAGCCACACGCGTCGCCCAGGGAACAGGCTCTGCACTGCCTGGACGTTAGGAGGGCGTTGGCTTTTTATATAGATAGGACACGAGAGTTTCGTAAGTCAAATCAATTGTTTATTTCAGTGGCGGAAAGGATGTATGGTCAGCCAGTCTCGACGCAGCATATATCCTCGTGGATTACTTCCTGCATTCGACTGTGCTACGAGGGCGAAGGTAGACCACCGCTGCACATAACTGCACATTCCACTAGAGCCCAGGCGACGTCGGCGGCGTTTCTGGCTTGCGTGCCGATCTTGGAGATCTGCAGGGCAGCAACCTGGTTATCAGTGCACACCTTTGCAGAGCATTATGCAATCACGCAGCTGGCCAGGGAGGATGCTGCTGTCAGGACGGCAGTTCTGTGTTCTGCAGAATAACAAGATAATACTTAGTCACCTTCCAACCCCGCCTCCAGAGGGGGGACACGGCTAGGGACTCACCTAATCAGAATGGACATGAGTAAGCACTCGAAGAAGAAGAAGAGGGTACTTACCTCGTAACTGTAGTTCTTCGAGATGTGTTGCTCATGTCCATTCTGCATCCCACCCACCTCCCCGTGTCGGAAGGAGCCGGCAAGAAGGAACTGAGGGGTGGGAGGGCCAGCAGGGGTATATATGCACCGGTATACCGGCGCCACTCCAGGGGGCTCCCTGTTGGCCCTAGACGGGGAGGTGGGTGGGATGCAGAATGGACATGAGCAACACATCTCGAAGAACTACAGTTACGAGGTAAGTAACCTCTTCTTCATCAGCTCCCCACAAGGGAAAGACAGATGGTCAACATTTGGGTACTACAGGACTGAGCACCATGAAAAGTCCACAAGCAAATTAATAATTCTGTCTTCAGAGCAAGGTTGGCACCATAAATGGAATAGTGAGAAGAAAACAAAATATTGAATAGCTGCTCATTATTTGATCATCCAACAAAAATTCTCTGATGCGCTGTATCAGAATGTATATGGGTAGAGCCGTGAAAATCTACAGATATCCACTTTAGATCTGCAGGTATCCGCATCTGTGGATGTGAATGTGGAATAACCACAACTTATTTGTGTGTCTGTGGATACAGATTTTGCATGTAGAACCCTGTACATTTTTTCAAATCCACAGATCAATACAGATATCCACGATTCATTTTTATGGATACTAATGTGGATGCAGATACAAATTTTGTATCTGTACAAAGCTCTGTATTTGGGAGGCAAATTAAAAAAAACATAATTCTGGTCTTTCCTAGCTTTTCAGAGCTTGGCTTTGCATCCTCAGTAATGGGGTGAGGGTCTAAATATGGGGAGTTGTATGTAATGAAAGATGTATACTGATTAGTACATGCTTATGGCCAGAAGGTAAGATATTCTTGATACCTAATTAGAACACTTAATATTGCTTAATCCAAAGCATATTAATTTAGCTTTTTGTTAATGAAAAGGCAATTAAAGAGCAAGTCTTAGTCGGAACTGTTTCAAGTTAAAAATTAATCTGTGCATGCATGTAGAGACTGAAGGAAAGACATTTATTGCATGTATTTTGAAAGGGATATGGGTAAATAGACAAAAAAATTCAGAAACTATGAAAAATAGTTGGATATTGTTTAAATTGTTTCATTGAGTTTGTTAAAATAATGGTTTTACTTTGGTTATGAATATTAGGATGAATAAATAAATAGTTAAAGGTAAGGGATATTAGTCAATTAAAATTTTACTTTATCCATTCTGTGTTGTCCTTGCCTTCAAATTTAAATTTTCAAGTGACTTCACAGCATAACCTATAAAACTAAAATTCACATTGCATGCTTTCTTTTAGGAAGATGACCGCAAACTATTAGTTGGGTTCTTAGAAGACGTGATGACTATGCTTTCATTATCACATGCTCCTCTTGATAGCCTGAAGGCTTCTTTTGTGGAACTGGGGTAAAGTATATAACATAGAATTGATTTTAAATGGCTTAAAATTTTTCATAATGTACTGTCAGCTGTAAGTGTAATTGCAACAAAAGATCAAGTGAATTAGGGATATAAATCAGGTTTACTTGATTAGTTTAGAAAGCTACTCTGTTTAATGCAGTATCTACTGTAAGATTAAACAAGAATCTATTCTATAGTTGAATATTTCAGTAAATATTTTTGCGCCTTCTGTAGCTTGAATGCTTTTGTCGTTGTAAATTGTTCATAACCTAAAGTTTTCCTGAAGTTTCTTTTCAAAGACTTAATTGTATGATACAGCCCATTTTTCCACAATCAGTAAAGCTGACTGTAAACAAGGCTTGCACGATGAATGTTTTTGAAGTTTAAGTGTTTAAGAGTGCACATTTCTGTATGCTACTGTAGACTGTCTTTGCAATTTATAATCAGACCCACTCTACACTTAGTGTTAGCTTGACTATTATTTTCTTTTAGTGCAAACCCAGCATACCATGAGCTGCTGTTAACTGTACTGTGGTATGGAGTTGTCCATACTTCAGCTCTTGTTCGTTGCACAGCTGCTAGAATGTTTGAGGTAAGTGATTATCAAAACTGTTACACTGCAATTTTAGACTATGTGTAGTAAAAAATCATATTGGTATCTGAAAACATATGTATTGTGATCAACTGACGTGTCTGAATAGGTTGTGTACTGTGTGATGGAGCAGCAATGTGTTGTACTCTTTTGGTTTTGCCTCTGTTACATATTCAAGTTAATTAAATATTGATGTTTTATCAACTGCTTGCAAGACATTTTTATAGCAATTTGTGTATTCATCTTTGTTCTGCTATTGTCTTTGGTATTAAATTTCATCTTTGCATGCTGAAAACTGTTGATTTGAATATGAGAAATCATTTCAGTGCTGAACTCTGTGTTCAAACCAGTTTTAAACTTGTCAGATTAGGAAATGGGCTTGCATAAGTCTATATGTAAGCTTTGCATGCATATCTTGGACTTGTTGATCTGTTCTTTTTGGGACTTGAACACACTTATTTCACTGATAGCAACACTTACAGGTTAACTATATTCAGAGCCTCATTCCTATACTCTAAGGCTTCAGAATTATATTGCAAGCCAATTTCTATCATTGCCTGACATTGAGAGAAAATAATATGCATAGTCAATAGTATTCATAATATGTTGCTTTATCATTTTATATTTGTCATATGAAGTTACAGAGTAACTCTTGTGAGCTCTCCTCTGTTTCCATACTGTGCAAATTCATAGATATTCTATAGAATCACTAAGTTTGCCTGAATTTGTTTACTATGTCCTTAGCCAACAAATCTAAAAATATCAGAAGTAAAGAAATACAGGATAGGAAATCCCAAATATCTTTCTCAGTTGCTGAATTTACAGGGATTTTGTGCCTCCTGGATCTGAAAAGTGTATTTATCTCTTTATAATTGCACTTATTCTTTATGCATGAGACTTCGGTACTTCAACTCTGTCTTTGTAATACAGGTTGAACCTCTCTAGTGCAGATCTCTCTGGTCCAGAATCATCCGTGATCCAGCTAACTAAAATCATTCTGGATGTCCATTTTTCATGGGCGTGGCAAGTTTCCTGCAGTCCCATAATGTTTGTTTACAGCCCCCAGTCCTAGCTCTCATTGTTCTGTTCTGTAGTTTACCCTAAATGTCCTCTAACAGCTCAGTAAGCAGTCGAAGTGTTGGGAATGCTGCTAGATAATATTGACCTCCTGTAGTCTGGAAAAATCTCTTATTCTGAACCAGTCAAGTCCCAAGGGTGCCGTACTAGGGAGGGTCAACCTGTATATTACTATGGGGTACCACATGAGGACAGAGATCTCCACACTTGGATCCAGATGAAGAATCAGAGTCTAAATCTGCTCTGAGTAGTAAAAAATTAAATTATAACCATGTTTTAATATAACTATCTCATCACTAGCCAAAATAATGCTTCTATTAATACTCTCCCCACCCGTTTAATGAAAGTCAAGTAGCAAAAAAGCTTTGTTTTACTACATGACATATTTTTATTTAATTATACCCCTGCAATTCCTGCTTTTCCATTTGGTCTAAATCAGTGTTCCTCAAAGTGGGCTGTGAGCCCAATTTGGGAAAGCAGCTAGTGGGTCCCTGTGCTTTGTTTATCTAAAGGGGCCATAGCCACGGATCTTTATGGCTCCTATTGGCTCCGGTTTGCCGTTTGCAGCCAAGGGAGCCATGAGAAGCTTTCCACAGTTCGCATTGGCTGGAAACAGTGAATCAGACTCTGTTGGAGCTGAGAGGCTCTGTGGCTAGGGTCCCTTTAGGAAAACAAAGCATCAGGGGCTTAGTAGCAGCTTTCCTAAAATGGGCCTACAGCCCACTTTCAGAAACACTGGTCTTAAATGTATTGTACTGAGTAGGGTTATGAATCCACCTAGAACGGTGAACTCATAACTGTGGTAAGGATCCACCCTCTGATCACTGTTGTACTGATGATGCTTTAGAACTCAACAGAACCGTACGTTAGCAAATAGTCCTACGGGTGAACCAGGAAGCCCTGTTACTGGTTTTGGGGCGGGGGGGACCGTCTAAAGACCAGCCTGTGCAAGCTTGGTTAAATGACTTAATCAGTTTGTGCTTTTTCCACTTTAGACATTCCCATCATTAAAGCATTTTCAGATAGTCTAAAATATTATGCAACCATTCTCCTTGTCTTAGCTTTTGGAATATTGGAGCTTTATTCCTCTTTGCTTGCTAGACGCCCTAGGCAACATCTTTGGACGACCTCCGTTATAAAAGGCTGCATCCTGAACTGTAATGTTTCTTCCAAACAACAAATAAAGGACAAAATAAGTGATTTTTGAACAGTCTGTATTGTCTGACATTTTTTCCCTGCTATAATTCATGAAGTGCAGAGCCTATGCTGCTAAACAAAAAATATACTGTTTTCTAATTATATCACCTTTTCCTAAATCTCAGAAACATGTAAGTAGATATCGCATGCTCACATAAATATTTGTGGTGAGATCTTTATTTTTGCTCCAATACCTGTCCTTTGTGTAGGAGGGCTGGATCCTCAAAGCCCTGATTCTGGCCATTAGAGCATCAATACTTATTAGCCAGGATGGGTAGGAATGTTTGTCAGAGGCTGGGAATGGATGACAAGAGAGGAATCACGTGATGATTTCCTGTTCTGTTCACTCCCACTGGGGCACTTGGCGTTGGCCACTGTTGGAAGACAGGATGCTGGGTTAAATGGACCTTTAGTCTAATCCAGTATGAACGTTCTTATGATCCCTCCACACAAGGCACTACATTCTTATGATCCCTCCACACAAGGCACTGCAGAAGACAGTAAGGTGCCTTCTGCAGATACTGTCTTAACTTGCTAGAAGGGGCCAAACCACTGCTGCAGTATCGCAGAGGTTCTGTGCTGTGCAGTGCAGTGTCCCATGGAACAGCCTTGAAAGGATGCTGCAACTTGGACAGACCTCAAGTTACACTGAGCCCTTAGAATAATCCAATATTGGGAGAGTACAAAAGTAACTTAAAGCCACCATAGCGTCCGCAACCTTAGCATTCTTGGATTGAGAGTCTTGTGCTGCATCTCTTCAGGCTTAGTATGTATAAATAGACATATTTATGACCGCTATAAAGAAATTAAAACAAAGTCAGTTCTAAGTATTGTGTTATATGCTGAATATTATCTGGCTTCCTCCTTTCTGCTATTTCTGTGCTTTTAATTGTTAACATTTTGTCAGTAACTTCCAGTTTTGAATGTTAACCCAAATTTGACTGGCACTGGTTTGAACACTATTTATGTATAGTTGGGTTATGAACTTTGTTGGTCTGTGAGATAGGTTCTAGTTCAGGAACAGTTATAATTCAAATATAAATCATAAAAAATCAACATATCTTTTTCCTTCATTGGAAAATACATTTTACTGGCAGTGTATCTGCTCAAATTGTGATCATGTTTTCTGTTCCCTAATAATGTCAGTCACAAATTTTCTTGTCATTAGTACATTTCCTTAATACTTTTATTTTAAAAAATTTGCAATTGGTAAAGAAAGTCATATTTATACATTATAGAAATTAAAAGTAAAAAGTGAACATATTAAATGGGAAAATTGTCATCTTAAACACTGACTAAAAGTAGTTAATCTTAATTCAACAAACTGGCAATTGCTTAAAGGTAATTTGAAGAGCTGTATTTAAGATGAGCATTTCAATGCTTTTCAATTGACTTCACAGTCAATGATGAAAATAATAAGTATTTAATGTTATTGTGTACTTGAAAACATCCAGTTGTTTGTGCTTTGGGGGATTGTTTTTAGTGTTGATCATCAAATTTTAGATTAAAGAAACTCCATGTTTCTGCCCAATGGATAATAATCAGTGCAGGAAGTCACTTTTCTATATAGTTGTAACTTGTAAAATTATCCTGAATTATTTATGGAATCTAAGCTCCACACTTCTACCACCACTGTTCAATAGATGTATAAAAACACTCACAAATATAGGATTCAAGCCTTACACTACTGCACTTACTGGGAAAGCCAATCTTCTCTCTATTTCACCATTGACTTGAGAGTCTGATCAAGAGGGATTCTCAAAAGTAGCCACTCCTCGGCGCAACTGGACCAACCCGGCAGCACCCTAGCTGCTCTGCCCCAGGTGTCCCCAAGTCAGACGCTGCTGATACTGACCAACGGCTGACTCTGGGAAGCCCGGGGCAGAGTAGCCCCAATTGTCCGGCTGGCCGGCGC